ATCTTGAGGAAGAGATTTACATGCTTCAGCCTGAAGGTTTTGAAGAATACGAAAAGAAGAACTTGGTTTGCAGGTTGAACAAATCTCTGTACGGTCTAAAGCAGGCACCGAGGTGTTGGTATAAGAGATTTGATTCATTCATTATGTGCCTTGGATACAACAGACTTAATGCAGACCCTTGTGCTTATTTTAAGAGGTTTGGTGATAATGATTTTGTTATATTGTTATTGTATGTGGATGACATGTTGGTTACAGGACCCAACAAATATCATATTGACGAATTGAAGGCACAACTGGCTAGGGAATTTGAAATGAAGGACTTGGGATCAGTAAACAAGATTCTAGGGATGCAAATTCACCGAGACAGAAGTAATAGGAAGATTTGGCTTTCACAAAAGAATTACTTGAAGAAGATATTGTCATAATTCAACATGCAAGATTGTAAGCTAATTTTTACCACTCTTCCTATTAACTTCAAATTATCCTCTAGTATGAGTCCTAGTAGTGAAGAAGAGAGGATGGAGATGTCTCGAGTGTCGTATGCATCGGCAGTGGGAAGTTTAATGTTCGCTATGATATGCACAAGACCAGACATTGCACAAGCAGTGGGAGTGGTTAGTCGGTACATGGCGAATCCAAACAAAGAGCATTGGAATATTGTAAAGAGGATCCTGAGATACATCAAAGGGACCTCAAATGTTGCATTATGTTATGGAGGATCAAACTTACTAATAAATGGGTATGTAGATTCTGACTATGCAAGGGATTTGGATAAAAGCAAATCTACGACAGGATACGTGTTTAAAGTTGCTGGTGGAGCTGTAAGCTGGGTTTCAAAATTGCAGTCAGTTGTGGCTACATCCACAATAGAGGCAGAATATGTAGCAGTTACACAAGCCAGTAAAGAAGCAATTTGGTTGAAGATGCTATTGGAGGAGCTTGGGCACAATCAAGGGTATGTCTCTCTATTTTGTGACAGTCAAAGCGCCTTGCATTTAGCAAGGAATCTAGCATTTCATTCAAGGACAAAGCACATACGAGTTCAATACCATTTCATTCATGAAAAGGAGGAAGAAAGAACGGTAGATATGCAGAAGATCCATACCAAAAACAATATAGCAGATTTCATGACGAAGGCGATCAACGCTGATAAATTTACTTGGTGTCGATCCTCTTGTGGCCTGTCAAAGACGTAAGCAACATGATGGTACAAGGTAGAAAGAATGGTGTGAATATATGATTGTTCCAATCAAATCTTCAAGTGGGAGATTGTTGAAAGTAAAAAAATAATGGGGCGGCTGTGGAAAATTGGTTTTGGGCGGCTAATATAGTCAAAATTTGGTAACCAAATTGTGGAAATTAAATGGGATAACTACAACATTTAATCCCTAAACTTTAGGGTATTTATAAGATTAGTCCTTAAGCTTCAACTATAAATACCCTAGCTCATTTAGCTTCAAAACCATCCCAAAGCATTCTAGTTTTCTTTCAATACTAGAGAATTTAGAGAGTTTCTTGAGAGTTGTTTTCTCATTTTTATCAAGAGAGAATTATCATTGTTTTCTCATTGGTAAATCGAGAGAAGTTGTAATTCTTATTTTCTCATAGTGAAATTCTTTTACCGTTGTCCGTGGTTTTTACCCTATATTATTTAGGGGTTTTCCACGTAAATTTTGTGTCTCCTTTATCTTCATTTTTATTTTCTCAAATTATCAGTTGTGATTTTGCTCTATCCGATAGCCGTCTTCCGCAATAGTGGAGACCCAATGGTTAGTCATTGAGTCCTAGAGATTGGCAGTGGAGACCCAGAAAGAGGCAACGAATGCCCAAAGGGAAGCATTGGAGACTCGTATGGAGGCCAAAACAGCTAGGGAAAATGTTACGGAGAAGAAAATAAGCCTCTATTCCAATATGGTAGAGAGGAAAAGGTTCCTCGAGAAGTTGGTTGTTGTATTTTTTGGGAAACTCTTAGTATTTTATCCCTGTTTTGTGATAGGCTTTAGGATTTGTTATATAAAACTTTTGTGTTAATGAAGCTTTTGTTATCCTACTTAGCTTGTTTGTGTTTTCGTCTATTGTTTGTACGATCTGTAAGTTGGATAGTTTTAAATTTTTGTTTTTATGCTCAAAGGTCAAAGCGTTTAATACGATAAAAGTACTAAGGTGTATCTACGTGAATTGTGTCATTAAAAATGACATTTCTAACATGATTCCAAAATTTATTAGAAGTTTCTTCTATTACCTACAAAATGACAATAAAGAAGGAACAACGATCGATGTGACGATGGTGAATGATGATGAAAGAGATCATGGTGAAAATGAGTTAGAAGAGGGATTAAATTGGTATAATTTAAAATTGTTGATGGTTAAATTTTTAGAATTAAGATCAAATTATAATTGTGTAAAAGTTTATGGCTAATTTTCTATGGATAAACAACTATGGTAGTCCAATTTACTTTCAGTCTATTTGATTTTAGAAACCAATTTTAAAAAAGTTACATTCTGATCACTTTTGTTTTCGATTCATCTTATTTTGACCACTGAGTCGTTAATCCCATTTAGTTTGATGATAAGGTATGTTAGTAAAAAATATAACCCCTGTATTTTTTATAAAATATTAATTTAATCTATAAATTTTGTCATAATCCCCTATCATCCACGACCGTCGGTCACATTCAATTACTATCATTGGTCATCGTCAACTAATGTCTTTTCGTATCTTGAGCCCAATGTCATTGATGAAGTGAGGACTGGTACTGACCGTCAGCTCTTCCACCCTAAACAACTTATCAGATGCAAAGAAGATGATGCCAACAACTTTGCCCGCAACCACTACACCAGCGAATTCTTTTAATCTTATTCATTCAATCACTTTTTTTTACCTACAATATACTTATTTGTTTTACAATAACTAATATTTTGAGTTTTACTTGTACTCTTTGATAAGGAGAATGTTGACTTGTGCTTTGGTCGTATTAGAAAGCTGTCTGATAACTGCATTGGTCTACAAGGGTTCCATGTTTCAACGGTGTTGATGGAGGCACTGACTCTGGTCTTGGAGATGAAGAACTTACACGATGACTATCTAGACTCATCTACCGATTTTAAAAAGTAAGGGGAACGAATTTAGTGGTCCAGTACCTGAGTTTACTAAGGACTCTGAGTGTGAGCTTGGCTAAAAATCAATTTGATGGTCACATTCCTAAAATCTTAAGCAAAATGCATGCAGATATGTTCTTGGGTACCCCCAGTGCAAGCATTCGTAATGTATATATTGCATGCCTTCAGTACTGAAGATTTTAAAATCTTTATCTATTGTTTATCTCTTCTGTAGGGGCTGCGGGAACAAAAATCTATACGGACCGCCTCTCATAGAATACGACAATCGTAGACGTCCGCCTTGTCCTCCACCTAGCCCTCCGCTAATCATAATTATGAACTCGTCAACTGGAATAATGATTGCCCTCCCCGAAGCTTAAAAGTAGTCTAAAATATTATTAGATGTGTATATTAAAGTGAATAACTTATTATGTTTCCTTAATATATGTAGAGGTAAAATTCAGCGGTCTCAATTAATCTAATCATACTATTCTATACGAGTATTTAAGAATAGATACATAATTTTAAGTTAAGAGGTTGAATTTTTAAAATTTTAAGAAAGTATAAACTTATAAAATTAATTTTAGGGAAAAAACATATTTTTAATAGAAAATGCATAAAAAATTTAAAATATATGATAATTTTAGATTTTTAGTGGAGACTTCTCCAATCTACCCCTCGATCCATCCCAATGAGTATTGATGATATAATTGTATGAAAATAAAATAATATTTAGTATGCGTACATATATGATGTAAGAGTGTATGACATATATAGTGGTGGTTGATGTTTATATGAAATTAAGAATATATTTATTTTATTAATCCAACTATATAAATATGATTGATTTACTTTTGCATCTACATGTTACATGTATATATTATATGATATATATATATATTTGTTAATTTTTTTATTTTTTAATAATTTATAATTTATAACTTGTTATATATTTTTAGTTTTTCAAAAATAATAATAATGATATTTTAGTATTTTTAATATATATATATATATATATATATATAATAGTGTTTCTCCGTGTATAAAGACTAAAGTGACTGCCAGCAAGCAGTTAATTGAAGTCGGTAGTGTTGGCCTGAGTCACCTCTCTCTAGTATGAGCCATTAATGGCAATACGTAATCGGAGATGGTTGGTTGAAGTTAAATGGACCTCTCACGATGATACTATGGCTTGTGGGTTTTCTCGCGAAACTATATAAATATGATTGATTTACTTTTGTATCTATATGTTATATGATGGACCTCTCATTAAAGCCATTGATCACTTATTAATTTTTTTAGTAATTTAATTTTATTTTTAATATTTTTTATATGTAATTTTTAATTTTTTTAAAATATTTTAAATTTCAAATTAAAATAGTTTTTTTTTAAATTAAATAAGCTCATGAACTTTTGAAAAATCAATTTGATATTCGAATTAAATAAAAAAATTAATTTGACTCATAAGTCATGTCATCAGCCACTATAGACGTTTCAATAACATCATGAATTATTAGTTAGAATCGTAAAATATTACATCAACATCGTAAAATAAGGAAAATCATTGCTCAAAAGACCACGTTGAGTTTTATTTCTGAGTTTGAGAGATACATTGAGTGAAAAAATAATTCAAAATTTATATTCACCTTTTCAGAAAAGTTTAAGGACCTCAAATAGAATTAAACCTTAAAAAAAGTGTACAAATGTTTATCATCAGCTTGATTGGTTCCATCATATGATGATGAAGTCAAAGATCAGCAATTGTTGATTAATATGCGCGCTAGCTGCTTTAGACATGAGTGTACTGTAACCCAATCCCTCCGTTTACTTGGACCGCCCTTCTCCTAAGTCTTCTTTTCGAAAGCACATATACCTTCCCGTCCATTTTTGCACCAACAATCACAATAACTCAATACCTAAATTTTGCAGTCTTTCAAAATCTTAATTTCCCATTTCCCAAAAAATCGTTATTATTATTCTTTAGAAAGAAAAAAAAGATATGGAGAAAAACCAATCGTTCAAATACTACTCTCAAGAGCCCGATTCGCCTCATCCATGGAACGCCGATTTCGGATTGACAAACGCAAGCGATCGGCGTTACGCGTTTTCGCGGCAACCTTCGTTTAAACAGTCGATGAGAGATCCCCAAACGCCTAACTTTTCCAGCGATTCCACGAAGCCTTTCCTATCGAGGGATGTTTCAAGCATCGATATACCCCCAGGGTTTTATTCTTTTGACCATGTCAAGGAAGGTGTTTCCGAAGCCAAAGGATCGGAAACGGTGGATAAATTCTCTGGCTTGGATTCGGTTTTGTGGGTTTTTCGGGTTATGAGAACTGGTAATCGGCAAATGAAGAGGTTGCTGATTATGATTTCGCTTAATGTGGCGTATTCGACTGCCGAGTTGGCGATTGGACTCTTAACGGGCCGAATTGGTGAGATTCTAATATGTTTATGCTTGGTTTTGCATTTATATGCATAAATTGCTTAGCTTATTATTATTGTTATTTTTTGTTGTAGTGATTGTAGTTTATCGGTTGGTGATTAAATTAGGAAAGTTTTATTTCTTAAATTACATAGAAGTATGTATTTTAAAGAAATTTGGCTAATAAATTTGGACAGAGAAGAACTCAAGTGTACATTTGACTTGCTATTTCCATGTAATAACAATATTTGCTTGCAAATTAACTGCTTTTTATCATTTTGAGTTATAGTTTTTATTTGTAGTTATTTGCAATTGAACTGGGCTTCTGCTTGTGTTGTTGCAAGTTGATGCTTTTTTTTTGTTGCCCTTTTTCAATGTTAAGTTTTATGGTGGGTGTGCTTAATGCTCATATACCAAGTGATATTATGGACTGTATGCATTTCGTTGTGGCTGTAAAGTCTGTTCTAACAACATTTTTGGCCATATGTATCAGTGTTCAATTGTTATTTTTTGAACAATTTTCTTTGAATTTTAATGTCCTTAAGTGCAACTATTTACATTATCACTCTTGGTTGAAATGAAATTCTTTTTTGATTTAATTTTCCTTAAGTTTTTAGGGTTCCTGGTTTTATGGTTTGAATTTCCTCTGTTCTCTATTCTGTTGTTTTGCTTGTCTTTTCAGGTTTGGTATCTGATGCATTTCATTTGACCTTTGGCTGTGGTCTCTTGACGTTTTCATTGTTTGCAATGGCTGCTTCTCGAAGAAAGCCTGATAGTGTTTATACTTATGGGTGAGATCATACAGTTTCAGTTATGTCACGAGATAAAGTTGGTTCAATTTATTGGTATATCTTGGAGTTTTTAAGCTGGTTAAAATTTTCCAGAAAGTATTTATTTGCTTGGTACTATTTTAGATTTTATTATTCTGAAACATACATTTTACATGAAGATATGCCTCTGATTAAGATAGTGTCTTTTATCAAGCACATAATAAACCTCAACTCTACACTGTTACCTGCATCATTATTCATCGTCCAACAGATTCATTTCTGTTTACAGTTGTCTATTATTTTCCCGTTTTTAGTTATTTTGTGGCAAAGGTTAGTATAATTGGCTGCCATTAATCTCTCTAAAAAGGGCATCTCAAATGCATATGCTTCAACCCCTAAAATCCCTATGAAATGGCAATTTTTATTTTTCAAGTCATCTTAGAGATTATATTGATGGTTCGTCATGACAGCTAATAATTGTAAAAAAATTCATTATCAGGTACCAAAGACTTGAAGTATTGTCAGCATTCACCAACGCTGTAAGTATTTTATTTTCAACATTCTTTATCTCCAAATGTTATGTTCAAGTTGTAGTCTGATAGAAGCAGGGATAGGTGTACATTGGAACTGTATCTTAAGGAATTAAAAGGAAATCATTATTGGATAAACTCGCTAAGAAAGGAAGTCTGTATGGAGAGGACCAAACTCCTAATACAAAGCTGATAAACAAATTAAAAATGAAAAACAATGGTAGGATCCATTAGTATATTTATACCCAAATAGCTTTGAGGGGTCAGTTATTTGTATTGCAACAGAATCTAAAAGAAAGCAAGTAATGTAGTTGGATGAAGTAGTGGCCTAGTGGGATGCATGGCTTTGGGAATTGGAAGATCAAAGTTTGACACCTTCCTATATTTCTTTGAACACATTCTCATATGGGTCTTGGATCAGGTCAGTCCCCAAATGGACTTAGCTGTAACCTTATTCACCCCACATGGCTTCCTAAATATGTCAGCACAGGTTGCAATGCATCATAGTTTCTCAGTTTGTAACATGTTCAAGTTATGATTTTATTCTAGTGAAGTTCGATGTGCAATGAACTTAGGGCAAGAGGAGATAAATATAATTGAACTCTCGAAATGCTAGCTGTTGTTTGATAGAAGTCACTTGTTCTTAATCATGTTGAACGAGACCATGCTATTAGGATTAGATATATGTTGTTTTTTAGATTTCATCTTAAAGCTATATGATATATACTTGTATTTACTCAAAGCTTAGCTTCACTGTAATAGAAAAACTGAATAATATTTTGATTCAATGTATAAAATTAGATTCTAAAAAAAGTATAGGAAATTATAATTGTTGGCTTGCTCTGTTCTGTTGAGATATTTATTTCATGTTCCCTCATGCTTTACAAATTTTCCTAGTTCTTTGAAATGTTCCAGTAATTTTATTTTGTTTCTTCTTTCTTGGTAAAAATGGGTTAACATCTTGATATTCTTGATTTTGCTGCATGTGTAGACAGCTATTTCTATTGTTCTTGTCATTTTCCTTAGCTGTTGAAGCACTTCACGCTTTCATCCAAGATGAATCAGAGCACAAGTAAGTTATCATGCCCTTGATTTGTAGTGCTGTGGTAAATATTAGTAAGTTGTCAGTTATTTAATCTAATTTTTTGTACATGATAAAAAAATTGTAAAATATTAATCAACTTCTTTTTCTTGCTTATAGGCATTATTTGGTTGTTTCAGCAGTGGCAAATCTGTTGGTGAATCTATTGGGCGTTTGGTTCTTTAGAAATTATGCTCGAATCAATCTTGGTAAGTCAGATGCTGTGCTTCTTAATGCTTACATTTGAGATAAATTAAGAATGCTTATGCAGTTCTGACTTGTGAGGTTCAGAAAAAAGGGATTACCCTATTAGTTTTAGTTCAGAAAGATTGACCTAATCATATGTAATTGCTTTTAAATATTAAGGTTAGTTCTAGGGAAAACCCTGGTGAGGTTAGTGATTCACTCTGTTGAGTAGGGGGTCGCAAGTACAGCTCCTTGTTTTGGAGTTGATGAGTGTTTTGAGTGGTGGTGAGTTCAGTTGGTAATAAATGGTTTTAAATGTTTGATGTCAATTTATCACGAACTTTATGCTAAGAGAACATTTGTGGTTTCTGAAAGTATGTAGCTGTTATTTTTATATTCCCATATTTGTACTTATGTTCATGATGTTGTGGGCTTATATTATATAATTGCAATCTGCTTTATTGTGATATGAGAACCTCAAGCTTAATAAGGTTTATGATTGCCGTAATTCGAAACATGAGCTTGGGATAGTTTGTTATTCTTATATGTATATTTTTCTTGCAGCATACAGGAAACCTGAAGATATGAATTACCACTCAGTTTGCTTGCATGTTCTAGCAGATTCCATTCGCAGGTGTGACAGCTCATCCCTCTATCTATTCATGCATGATTTCCTTCTTTCATCATTTATAACTGTCTTACTCATCTGTCAACTTTTTCCCCCCTTCAGTGCAGGTTTGATATTCGCATCCTGGTTTCTCTCTCTCGGGTAATTTCTTGCTTCAATTTTAAATTAACTGCTGGTGAAGGAACAAGCTAGATGGCATCTATCCTGGCATCCGTTTCGACCCTTATTCTTTCTTAATTTTGTCGTAACTTTTCTTCCCTCCTTTCTTGCAGGGTTAATAATGCAGAAGTTTTGTGCTTGGGATTAGTTTCAGTTGCAGTCTTTATGCTTGTTATGCCTCTATTTAAAGCTACTGGTGGCATCTTGCTTCAGATGGCACCACCTAATATTTCATCTTCAGCCTTGGGGAAATGCTGGCGGCAGGTGGTTGCCTTCCCCTTTGTTATTCTAATGCATTTCTTGGTCAAATTTACGCATCTTTCTTTTTTGAATTATAATTTAAATTTCTATCTTGTTTAGATTGTTTCTCATGAAGATGTTACAGAAGTTTCCCGAGCTCGGTTTTGGGAACTAGTGCCTGGCCATGTTGTTGGGTCCATTTCACTTCAGGTATTTGACTGTAACATTCAACTTCTGCCCTTCCAAAATGTTTTGAATCCATTATTGGATGTTGAATGCTTCATTTGTGAGCAGGTGAAGAGAGAGATGGATGATCGTCGGATACTAGAGTATGTGCATAGGTTGTACCATGAGTTGGGAATACATGATTTGACAGTGCAAACTGATGATTATGTATGAACATTATCCCCTTTGCTCTTTTTTTCATTGTATTTATGAGAAATTGGTTCTGGGGAAAAGAACCTTATGTTGTAGTCATGTTGTCATCCCAAATGGATAGATTATGACTAGGGGTGAATTTTGAATCTGCTTCTTGGGTCCAATTGACCATTCAAAGAATAATTTTTCATATTAATTTACTAGGGGTGAATTTTGAATCCGCTTCTTGGGTCCAATTGACCATTCAAAGAATAATATTTCATATTCATTTATGTTATTTCATATTAATTTACTAGGGGTGAATTTTGAACCATAACATCTGTAATCCTTCCTTTCCTATAACATTCCCATAACCATTTCAAAATACTATTGTTAACTATTTTCTTTGGATGATATAGAAAGGATCTTGAAAGAACGGTCTCTGGTGGATGTTAAAAAAGCTAAACAGCTACTATACATGTCAGGTCATATGATCTTAAATCATGTGTGTATGTTAATTCTATTTTCAATCACTTAATTAATGTATGTTTAAAAAGGTTATACTTAAGCACTTAAAAGAAAATACATATCTAACACAACGTGAAATATTAGAAGTTTATAGTCAAGCATACCTCAAAAGACCTTAAAAAAATACCGATATTTTGAGTATTTTATAGGACAACAACTGACAGAATGACTTGATCTGATTAGGTTCAAGACCTATATTTGACAACTCAAAATCATTATATTTGGTCTTGAGCTTCTCAAATCTTACAGTGTTTAAATGAGTTATTTTAAGTATAACTTTTTAAACATACACTTATTGAGTGATTGAATATCAAACTAATAAATGTGTCACCGCTATTGTGTAATTACGTGTTTTCGATACTTATCATACATGTTTATATTTGGACAAAATTCATATAATTTTTTATATTTACTTTTTATTTATTTATTTTGATTTATTTTGGTCTATGTTCCCACCTAATTTCTTTGTTGTACAATATGCATTTCTGAGGCAAATGCTTCAGCAAGCTTTTACAAAGAGATACCTAGACAATAAATCTTAAAAGAATATCTCTAGACAATAAATCTTAAAAGCAGTGTTAAACTAGCCTATAAAAGCCTGGCTGCCATCGACTTTTGACTCTACCTACCGGTAAGGTCCGTAAATGGAGTGAGTTGGCTGCCTCTAAGAGAATAATCCATTTGATTGAAAGATGGGGGCATGGCTGGCCACACAAATGAAGGCCTCTCTTGGGGCACCTCAGGTGGATCAGCTTCTCCCGAAAGAACCTACAAAACAGTTATCATACAAGGCCTGTAATGTGGGTTCGGATGGCAACATCCAAATCCCAGAATTAGCACACTCTCAGCTTCGTTCTAGACGAAGTTCGCATCCATCCTGGAATCAACAGCTGCAGTGATCTTCCCGTTCTTATAGAATTCCCATAGCCAATTGACAATGCTTTTGTTGTAATTATTTTGCTCCCTTTGGTTAACAGGTTTTCTCTTTCAAACAACTTCGAGGACGAGAACGCCGAATGAATAGACATCGGTGGCTCTGCTTATAAGAAAGGTTTCAGGAGCCATATAACCAGGTGCACCGGCTATCTCTATGGTAGAATGATGTGTTTTCTCTTTTCCTTCAACAGTTCGAGCCAATCCGAAATCCCCTAGCTTGGCTACGTACTCCGAATCCAACATTATGTTGCTGGCTTTTATGTCGCGGTCAAGCACCCTCTTTTGACAACCACTGTGAAGATACTCTAGCGCTTGAGCCACTCCTCGTATGATGGTTAGCCTTTGCTCCCATTTCAGTGTCGAACATTCCTCAGCACTTGCCTTGTGATTGCAAAATATGAACTTGTCAAGGCTTCCATTCGGCGTGTATTCGTACACAAGGAGTTCGCTTCTTTCGTAACACCATCCGATTAACTGGACGAGATTTTTGTGATTCAGGTTGCCGATTGTTGTTACTTCCGCTATGAATTCTTGCTTTACTTGATTTGATTTCTTCGATACTTTTTTGATAGCGATATCCTTGTTCATCCATGATCCTTTATAGACGGTTCCAAATCCACCTTTCCCCAGCTTGTTCTTGCGGCTAAAGTTGGCAGTTGCTTGTTTCAATTCTTCAACCGGAACTTCTTAGGACCAAAACCGGATCGATTGATCTCATCTTCTATATTTCCTCGTGCCCCCTCCATATCGTCCTCGATGTGGCCCGTTCTCCGATACAAGTAAATAACAAGAACGACGGTTAAAATCGTCAGAACAACCGCCGAAATCAATCCAAACCCAGAAAAAGTTCTCGTCTCCGTCAATATCGGTCCCGGAAAAACGACCACGATTTGACACAGTTTAACTGCGTCTCATTGCTTGTTGAGGCAGAGAATCCGACGAACACCTTGCTGTGAAGTGAGATAGAGAGGTCAACATGTTCGGAAAGCACAAGAATATGGTTTACCCTCGCACTCAAGTTTTCTCCATCCAGGGCCGTGGCTAGGTATAATGGGGCCCTATGCAAATTCTTATAATGGGCTCCTATTTTTTATAATCAATGCTTATGAAGTTTCAAGTGGAGTAAATAAGAAGAGAAAAAGTAGTGGGAAATGAAAGCACATTGTCTAGGTTATCAGTAAATTGTAGTATCTGACAGATAAAGGAGTGCATTGTCTGTAATCACACGGAACCCAAAGCAGATCACTGCCCGCATCTAATGTTGTATTATATTAATGAGCACTATTAAAAAGAGTGATGTTTTCGTGTTCCCCAAAGGTTTGGTACATTACAGTAGTATTTCGGGGTCCTATTTTTTTGGGACCCTGCACCGTCGTACAGTTTGCGTCGGGTCAGCCACGACCCTGTCTCCATCATATTGAAGATGAACCAATAAGTCCACACCTCCTGAAACATTAAAACCATAGTCACTTAAAGAAACTTGGAAGATGGAGTTTATGCTATTTATGTTCAAGCCAATATGGTTGCCATCCAAGTCTCTGTCATCGCTTTTCCTTGTGTCGAACTCCACCGCCACTACCCTGGCTTCAGGACTACCATTCGTATCGGAGTTTACAATCCCAAGCCATCTTCCTTCGCTGTTATCGGGAACACTAGAATCCCAGTTATTATAAACGCCAGGCCTTCACCTCCAGGAGATGTTTGGCTTAGGATATTGAGGAAGAAAGTTGTATTAAAAGAAGCAATGGTTCCATTGCCTTTCCACAGACAAACATTTCTTGCACAAGGCTCGTCCCGATCTGTTTTTCATGAAAGCTCCAATAACGGCGAGGGTAACATGGAGGGCATCCAAAGTTATGGAAGAATTTGAGCTCAAGATAAGCTGGTTTCCAGCATCGCCCTGGAAGTTTGGAAAATTGAAGTCAAAGCTGCTTTCTTGAACGAGGAGCACTGCTAGGATTAAAAGGTAGGGCAATGGTGAAGGACACATTTTTTAAGAGAAACGATGAAACAGCCTGACTGGTTTTATGATGAATGACGTTGAAATAGAATTGGAATTGGAGGGGATACTGCATTTTATAAGCAAAATGAAATTAGATGAAATGTTATATCCTGCAACTTTCACGTATTATCTCCTCGTACACTTCATTATATCTTTCAACTCTTAGGAGTAAAAAAAAAAAAAAGTACATCTTTTAACTCTTGGGAGTAATGATCTTTCCCCAAAACTTCGATTTTGAATATTTTAAAAACAATTGAAGTTTAGTTAAAAGGGGTAAATTACATCTGTTTTTCAAAAGTCCCGAACATTAAAAGTTATTAAATGATCTCTTAATTATAAGAAGTTGTTTTGTTAAGTTTTTCGATTATTGAAAGTTACAAAATGGTCATTCAACTATTCATTATGTTTCAAATTCGTTCTTTTTTGTTAAAAAAATTAACGGTCATCTGAGCTGGATGTTAACATGTCGACTGAGATATGATAGTCATTTAAGATTATAAGATCATATTTTATCATATCTTGGTTAACATATTAATGTTCAGCTCAGACTGCAATTAATTTTTTAACGAAAAATGATGAGTTTGAAATATAATGAATAGTCGGGTAACCATTTTGTAACTTTTAATAGTTAAGTAACTCAACAAAGCAACTCTCTATAATTATATGACCACTTTATAAATTTTAATAATCAGGATACTAAAAAAGTAGTATGCTAGAGTTAGGGGACTACTTGTGTACTTTACCCTAGTTAAAAAACAAAAACTTTGACTTTTAAATAAGGGCAAATTTAATCATATCATTTAACTATGAGTAAATTTCATTTTAACGACCAAACTTTTAATATTATCAATTAAACTACTTAATTATTTAAATATTATCAATTAAATAACATGTTAGCATTTAATAAAAGAACTGATGTGTCAATTAAAAAATACTATAACTACACGTTTTGTTCTCATTAAATGTTTAAGTAATTAAGAATATATTTGTTTAACTGTAATTGGTTTTTTAGAAAACATTTTTTTTATTTTCTAATATTTGATTGGTGGAAACAAATGGTCAATTAATTCATTTTTCTAGTCAACAGAATTTCCTTTACATTTTCTAGAAAATGACTAACAGATTGATTTTCGTAAGTTATTTTTCGAAACTTTCACCTCAAAGCAGAAACAATCAAAATAATATCATTTTATGTATTTAACATTAATAAACTATTTTAATAAAATATTAAATATTAAATATTAAAATATTTATTAATAATTATAATAATATAATAGTATGTTTTTAGCAGTGTTATTAAAACTAGACCGGACCAGCCGGTTCGACCGGTTGAACCGAGAACCGATTGCCTATCCGGTCCGGTTATCCTATAAAATCAGTGTTGCAACGAACCGGTCAAGAACCGGTTAAGAACCGGCAAAACCGGTGTGAATCGGCCGGTTCACCGGTTCTTTTTTTTTAAATAAATATTTTAAAATATGTATTTTCTAATATAATAAGATTATCAATCCATTTTAATTTTAATTTATTCTTATTTTAAATTTAATTCTAATATAATAAATATTTTATTTATTCAAATTTTCACTGAAATGAAAAGAAAACCAGTATATCATATATTTTTTATTGAAAATAAAATTAATATTAAATATAGTACTAAATATAATTGAACTTTAATATATTTTATAACTTATTATATTTTTAATCAAAGAAACAATTTATTATATTTAAATTTGCTTACTTTACTATT